AAACATTTTATTTTTAATATTTTTAATATCTTAAAATTATTTAAGTATAAATACAAAAATACATACTTATCTGATCCAAGTAATCTGTACGTTCTACTCGGATCACTGATTTCTTGCGTAACTTCACCGTTTTTAAAACTTCTACCTTGCATACCATGTTTATGGAATGCTAGCACACTATCTGGTAAACAAACTAAAGAAAGAAAATGATTATAATAACATTTATTTTAATATTAACAACAAAATAAACTACGTTACTTGTTTTAAATGATCTTACTAATGGATTCAATTTGAAAATTAAAATGTAATTCTGACATGTGCTTTCTGCTTGATCTAGGTTTTCCTTGTAATGTTACCACTTTTACTACATCTAAAAAAGAAATATGAATAGATTATAATAGATTATAATAAATAGAAGTATAATAGATTAAAAGAATAGAAAAATAGAATATTGTACAAAGATTTTTTTATACTTACTATCGTAACAGACTAATATTGCATTTTTTTCTAACTGTGTAACATTGATAACATGAAGATTTTCTCTTCTTGGTATCACAGTAGCTATAAAAATATAAATTTTTAAATTAAGAAAAAAATAATAGAAATATTTAATCAATTTATTTAATGCATGAAAGTAAAATCAAAAAAAAGATACCAGAACCATCCATATCTTCCAATTCATCACTGTGAAACCAACTTGCCCCTGAATTCATATTGATTAAATCCAATTTTAATTTATTTTGTTGATATGGTTGTTTCACAGATACACACACCATCGGATACTCCATTTCAGGTGTAATAATAATTTCAAATACATTTAGTGGTGTTGGTAATGTACAATCAAAATGTTTTAATAACATGAATTTATTAAGAGGATCATACCATTGCATTAAAAATATTCCAGTTGGCATTGCACCACATAAATATTTATATCTGCATTAAATATTTTTATTATCAATAATGTACAGAAAAATATGAACTTATTTACTTACCCATTATATGGATTTCTTCCTACACAGCATTTAGTACAACCTTTTGTATCTGGTACTTTTGTAGTTAGAGCAAATTTTCTAGGGACTAATCTTTCAGGTATTTTATTCATGTGTAATGAAAACCTATGAGTTTGTTTGCTTTGCATTGCTAATAAATCATGTCTATATAATTGAGGAGTTTTTCCTAAAATTTAAAATTAATACTATATATGTATAATAATTAAGAAATATATAATATTTAAATAATAAAATAATTTAATAATTAATGTATTTCTTACCAGATAAGGACATGAGAACATCCTTGATGACATACATCCAAATAGTTCGTCTTGGATATAATTGATCTATTGCAGTTTCATGAAGTTCATTTAAATTTAAATTATAAATTCCTTCTTCTGCTGCAATTAATAAATGCTGATCCCTTGTATCTGGATGAATCCAACTTGCAGTACAATGTATTCTTAATGGACAACCATTAAATACCTATATAAAAAAATTTATTTAAAAATTTCAATTTTATTTTGACTAATATTATTGATATTAATAATTTCTTCAATTAATTATAATAAAATGAAAATACATATCATACTAACTTTCGAAAAACATGCTCCCATATGAACCTTAGGTGTTGGTGGCAGTCCATTGCTGATAGGTCTAGGAGGTGTATGACGTTTTCTATCCCTTCTTCTCGGAGGAACAGGCGGAGTATCGGATAATAAATCTGGGCTCATACCTTCTTGATCTCCTTCGCCTGACATCTCATTTTGACCTAGGAAAAATTTTTTATTCATTACATTATTGTATTTATTCACATTATGTTAATTATTTTTAATTTAATTTTAATTTATATAATATTTTAGTTTAAAAATTGATATTCTTACCATTCGATTGAGGAGATTCATCTCTAGGGCCACTATCTGAAAGAGATCGTTGACGTTGTCCATTCACAGCAGCCAAAGACTGAGTACTGTTCACTAAACCATATAATTCATCTACAGAGCTATGGCGCCTGGGACTTGCTTGTGATCCTAATCAAATTTAATTTTTATATATTATTTAATATATTATTATTTTAATAGTTTAGAGTATTTCAGTATTTCTAAATCTGAAATTATGTCACGTTATATTAATTTTGAATTTGTAAATTAATGCAATTATCATTTTAATTTGATATTTAATTTTTTAAATTTATAAGAAATAATTAACAAAAATTAATATAAAATCTTGTGTGACATAAAGTTTGATAAAAAATTATAAGAAATAAACTATAAAAAAATATATTTACCTGATATATTGTAATATGCGCCATGCACTTCACAATCATTTGATGATTCTCCAAGTGGAAGTGTAGCTCTGAAAAAGAATAAATAAACCACCAAGTGTTAAGAAATATTATATATCAGGGAAAATGTATATTAGAAATTTTCTTCTTTTAAAAATAAGTGCTACTGGTGTTAGTAGATTATAAATAATTTTTAAATAATAATTAAAAAATAAGTTATTAATAACAATAACAATTAGTCAAGAATTAAAAAAAATATAGCATCATTTATAAAATTGACAAAATGCAAAAAAATGTTAGAAGATTAAAGAATTATAATAGATAAAATCAATATATATAAAATTTTTATATTTTATAGTTTTAAAGCATATATTATCATATTATTTAATATTTAAATTTTAAAGTGTTCTTTCTCTTGGAAGAGCATAAAATATTTTATAAAAGGTGGTGTTTAGGAAAAATGAAATATAGTACATAATTGTACATATATTTATCCAATATTTATTAATAAATAAATTTTAAGAAAAATTTTAAGATATTAATACTTAAAAACTAAATATTTAAACTATATGACTTCTTATATCAGAATGTCTGATTTTCCATAATTATTTTACCATAAATATTTATCATCTTATTTAATTATTAATAAAAAAATATATTAAAAAGAATTATTATTTGAAGAAAATTTTATTATTTGAAAAAATTTAAATATTTTTAAATATTTATTAAAATTATTTATTCTGAATAAAAGGCATATGTTACTTTCAGCCAAAAGTAACAAAAATAATCATTGTCATCTACAACCAAAAGATTAAACAACCTACTATTATTTTATCATTTACTTACTGCAGGGAATATAGCTGGTCGCAATGCCCACCAACCATCGACATTGCATTCCCCCTGCACATATGAAACTATAATCATATACTATAAAACACATTTTTTTGTTTTATTATTAATTTTTATTATTAATCCTATGAAATTTTTTTGTCAACATATTTTATAATTAATAATTTTATATATGAAATAATTCATTCATTTTAAGGAATGTAAGGATAATTTTTTCAATCAAATAATTATTATAAATACTTAAACATTAATTATTATATGATTTTATATAATAATATTACCATATTGATATCATTTCATCTATCACAGTTTTCTTACCATTATTAAATCACAAAAATATAATTTGAACATGTATTAAAAATTGTAATCTCTACAACAGATACATAAATTTCCACCACCTGGTTAACAGTTTAAAATTTATACTACAAAAAAAAAATTACATGCAATGAAAAATACTAAAAATATTTATGATTAAAAAATTATACTTCAAAAGTATGAACTTCAAAATTACACTATTTACATATAAATTTTGAGTATTAATATTTATTAAGAATATTATAGAATATATAAATAAAAAGTAGCTAATAGAATAAATCAAAGAAACACATAATGCAAAAAAAGCTTTAATTAATTTAAATGCTTCAAATAAAAATGCAAAAAAATATGTTAAGAATATTAGAAAATAGATTAATAAATTAGCATAAAGCTGCAGTAAAAACTAAATAATTTTAATGCAAGGCATAAGGAAATATATGTGCAAGGTGCAAGGTGCAAGGGAAAAGGGTTACCTGCCAATACCTTAGCAACAACTCCTCATCAATGTACTGCAATAGACTCCTGTTGGGAGAAATTATTAAAATTACAAACTGATCAGAGAAATTAAAGCTATGAAAATTGAAATGAGCCATGAAATTTGAATAAAGATCAGATATAAATATAAAAGGATAAAATAATTACTATTTTGAGATATCATACTAATTAAAAAAATTACGATTTAATAATTAAATTTATTAAATTTAGATAAAATATACTATATAAATATATGCCACATCTGATACAAATTTTATTATTTCTTATTAAATCGTATTATTCTATTAAAATTAACAAATGCATAAGATACTAATGAAAAAAATATATACAAAATATTATGATTTTCAAAAAATATTTTAAATAAAAGTATAAAAATAAATTTAACAAGGCAAAAAGATTTGCATATAAAAATAAAATACAAATGTGATAATAATACTTACGCATAATAGGATTAGTATATACATCAGGACCTTTTAACTTTCATTCTAAACATGCAGTATTTAAATTTTATATCGATTATCATGCATACTTTGTAATATATATTACTTAAAAAAATTAATTATTTATTAAAGTATAATCAAATATAAATATATATATATATATATTTAATATTATATATAAACTATAATATCTATAAAAAAAAAAATATAAAGAAAAAATGTAATCACTAGCTTCATGCTTTAAATTCTTAAATTTTTTCATGTTGTATGTCAATAGTAATTAAAATGACATGCATATCTATTTTAGGAAAATAAAATACATTTTTTAAATTAAATAAAAAAAACTCATTCCATTTTTTTGTACATATTTAACATATTCAATGGAAATGATAATAATGTTAAATTTCATTGAATCTCAATTCAAAACCGCATGTGTTCACACCAAACTACCTGCATTTTATTACCTTAAACTCATATGAAATATCTCTGTGCCTGTTTTGCTTCGACGCGACTCTCTATTATCTGTTGTAACGTTCGCGCCAACAGGACTGATACAAAAATAAACTATGTCATGTCTAGGAAAACTATACAATTTTTAACATTAATGACAAAGTTATTATTTGAAGCAACTAGAACTTTGTAATTTTTCTTGATTTTTTATATTGCATAAAGAATGTAAATTATGTAAAAAAAATTGCACTATTTGTTAATTATAGCAAAAATTGCTATAATTTTCTTAAAAAAATATCTTTTAAAAATAAATCAAATTATTATACATTGTATCTGAAGAAGCATATTTAAATTTTTAAATTCACTTTTACTTTTTGCTGTTTTCAATAATTAATGCATTATATGCAAAGCAGAAGCAGACGTGCCATATGCAGCTTGATGTTTGTTAGACCAAAATTGCTGTTTTGTTTTACATAATTCTGAAGTATATAATAAAATTAAAATTTATAAAACCTTACAGATAATTAATAATTAATATTGTATTTAAAGATAAAGATAAAAGAAGCAAAACAGCAATTATTATATTAGCAGAAAGATCTCAAAGCATTCCCTCTCTCATTTTTCCAGAATAATATATTTCTTTATGATTAAGTATATTTATTTTAAATATACTTACTTTTCTTGTACATCTTCAAATGCTGTGCCAATACCACAATCTGGATGAACATCGCAGTTATGAACTGACTGAATAATTAAATATACAATGCTATTTTAAATATTATATGTAAAAAATATTTTCATGATAAATATAAATTACCTTGACATTATTCATAATATCCATGATATCCCATGATGGATTAGTATCTACAGATGGAGAAATCACGTCTCTTTGCAATGTTCCATCAAGATTAATTTGATCTATAACATATATAATTTATATTTATAGGAAAAATAGAATATATATTATTGCCATCAAACTTTTTACCGTCGCTATCTAATTGTGGTATAGGACTTTTTGGTCTAGGTCTTGCAGTATGACGCGATGCTATCCTCTGTGGAACATTAGGTACAGCTCCATCTTCATCTGCTTCTAATTCAGTGAACATATGACTAGGATTTGATACTTTTTGCAATAATTCTAGAGCTAAACGTTTATTCATTTCTCCTTGAAAAAATGTATGCTGAAATGAAAGTTTTTATTTAAAATATTTTCTATCTAATTTTGATTTATATCATACATTATCTATTGATTAAAGAAAAATAATAACCTGTAATAATTTTTCAGCAGTCGGTCTTTTTTTAGGATTTTTAGTTAGAGCAATTTTTACGAAATTATGGAATGTTGGACTCCACTTGTCACGATCTTTTAACGTAGGTGGTTTAAATCCAGATTTAGACATAAGAAAAAGTGCTCTCATGGGATGTAAATCAAACATAGGTGGTTGCAATTCAGCTAACTCTATTGCAGTAATTCCACATGCCCAAATATCACAAAGTTGATTATAACCACCCTTTCTTTCTACAGCTGCAACCTGCAAATATGAATTAAAATATAAATTTCTAAAATATTTTCATAAAATTATTCAATCTAATCAGGATACCTCAGGTGCCATCCAATAAGGAGTACCAATGAAACTCTTTCTTTTATTAATAGTTGCAGTAATTTGTGCTGATACACCAAAATCAGCTAACTTGACATCACCAGCTTCAGTCAATAATATATTGGCACCTTTAATATCACGATGCATTTTGCCCATACTATGCAAATAAGCCAATCCCAAAAGTGTTTCTCGGCACATGTATGCTATTTGTATTTCTGACAAAGGCCCAGTTACTATAACATTATTAAAATATTCATTGTATTATGATATATTTTTAATATTGCAATATATCATAAGAATAAGTAATTTTTATCATAAATATCTAATTTGAATATTAATTATGTAAATTAAGGCATTATAAAAAAATATTAATAAAAAAACTTACTATGATATATATCTTGCAAAGAACCACCTCCACAATATTCCATACAAATCCATAATTTATCTCTTCTCAAATAACTTCCATAATAGGCAATAATATTAGGATGTCTGCAATCTTTCATCATTAAAATTTCTTGTTGAATTATTGCAAAATCATCTCCTAAAACATTTAAATAATGCATGATATGTAAAAATGTATTCACATTCTATAATCTTATTAATATTAATATTCATTAATAAAAATATTTATTAAATTATAATTTAAATAGAATTTGCATTGAATTTTCTTTAATATATCTTCAAATAATAGTAAATCAAAGAAACTATATTAATGTATTTATTTTGTTTTGATTATATGTATGAATAAATAATCTTAAATATAAAAAATATTAAAAATATAATTCATTTATTAATAAAAGAATATATTAATATATTTCTAACTTTTTATAATGAAACTTAAATATATAAATATGCAAATGTTTTTAAAATATATTTTAATGAAAAAAAATATAAATATAAAAGAGAAAAAGCGAAAAAACGATATAAATAATAATTATTTGCTTAATTATAATTTAATTATAAAATACTATATAAGAAACAATCAGAAATCTAAAATCAATTTTTTTAAATCATACAAAATAAATTAAACATATAAATTATTATTTGTATTCATGTAAATTATTGTATTCTATAAAATTTTTAATGAATAAAAACTTGAAAAATTTGTAAAAAAAGGCGGAAAAACTGGAAGATATACCTGGTTCCAATTTGATAACCTTAATTGCAGCGAGATCATTCGTGGAAAGTCTTTTGGCCTATAAAAAAATCGAATTGTTTGTAAATACAATGCATTTAAATATGAATATATAAAAATATATAAATCCACGAACCTTGTAAACATCTCCGTACGTTCCGCTGCCTATCCTCTGAATGAGTTCATATTCATCTTGTGGATTTCTTCGGCTTATGTCACTGGATAACGCGTTAGCGTTCAAAGCCATTCTAAAACACGGATTTCTGCTGATTTAGCAGCTAATGAGCGTAATTAATATCTACAAAAGAAGATTAATGTTAAAGTGTGAAAACACATTTGTTCGTCAGAATGTCACTTTCGTTGAAACGTCGCCATTGTTCACAACAGCTCTGAAATTAGTTACGATTTACAACTAAGCAAGCAATCTTTGCAATATCGATCAATCGATTTTACATTTTACATCAAGCACACTTAAAATCATATTTTTTTTTTCTTATTAAAGAGAGTTAAAATTAAGTTATATTTATATTAAAGAAAAATAAAATATTCATTATTTAAAAATAATTTTTTATTTTATTTGAAAATAAGTTCTATTATTTTTCTATATAATTTTTATGTTTATTAAAATACTTATCACATCGCAATTTTCTATTATTATATTATTAAAAAACTAATTTGTGATTGTAATCATTTTCATATTGCACTTTGAACTTCTTTATCAAAGCCGTATTTTTAATTTGAAATTTTTTTTTTTATTGGCTCGGAAACATGAGAATTATATAGGAAAAAGTTTGGATTATACGAAGAGTATAGTAGCTACGTTTCCCATTAAAATTTTTCATAAGAAACGAATCATAATACAAATTTTCAATTTAAATGTTAATTTCAACGCGATATATTTTAAAAATCTTTAAATTATATACGATATTTTTTTTCAAAGATATTCAATAATTTGATATTATTCAAACAAGATTAAATATAATAATATTTGTCAAAGATAAATGTTATCATAGATAATATATCATAGATAAAATATAATTTATATTTTTTAAATTCGTACAGAATTTGAAACAAAATAGTGATTATATATACTTATCTGTAAAATATTGCAGTTGTCATTTTTTTTGGATTTTTAATCATTTTTTAATAATTTAATCAGAAATATAGACTTAATTCTTATATTTCTTCTATGAAATTATTAATTTTTTTTAAAAATATATGTTTATATAATAATATATATTATTTATTATATAATAACTGATCATTAATTAATCAACAATAATTTTTAAAAAAATTCAAAAAATTTTGATCTTTCTTTTTCATTGTTATTTTTCCATAATCTTATACAATTAATTATTTTATATTTTTATTATTAGATATGTATTGTCTATTTATTTCATTGCGTTATTTATAATTCCCGCCAGAATAAATATCCAAAATCCCGCCATAATTAAATTCTACGATCTTAATAACAATGCACATAATATGAAAATAATAATAGGTGTTTAAATCTCATTAATTTGAGTCACAAAAATATATTGCATAATTAATTTATTTTTGTATCTAATCTGTAGTATAAGATCTTTTCTATAATAGAATAATTATAACATATTTAATATCAAATATAATTTTTAAAAAAGAATTAAATTATAATAGTCAAATAATTTTTCTTTAATAGTCTTTTTTTATAATAAATAGTAATTTTTAAATAAATAGTCAAATAATAATTTATTTTATTAATTATTAAAATAATAAATAGCAAAGAGTATATTGTAGCATATATTTTATTATATGAATTTTTTTTTTTTTTTTATATATCATTCCAAAGATTTC